TAATAACTGTCTAAAGCCTGATTAATTTAATTGATTAAATTAAACAAAAATTGGTGGTCCAGTGCAGGAAAGAAATATGCACAAGAACTTGGTCTGCGTCTCTATAGTAAACGTGTTAATTAAATGATTAATGGGTTTCTCATTGGAGATAAAATATTGAATTATTGAACTGTTATACAAACCCCCTAATCATTGACAAAAATATAAATTAATCCAACAATATAATCGTATAAGTATCATATGGACATGATCATCAAATGAATGTTCTTCCACATACACACTATATAATATCTACACACAACAAAAATTTTCCCATTCAAAATTCACATGTATGGACGGCAAATATAAATATATATCATAAGTATTAAAAGAGTTAATAATAATTAAAAAAAAAAAAAAAAAATAGTTAGAAACTGATGTGAAATAAAATTAATGGATAAATAGATGTCATTAATTAATTAATTATTTAATCTTTCTTCTGTAGATATATATTATAAGTCCATCAATCATTTCTTAAGTTAATTAATTACGTCTTATAAAAGTTAGTGCTTAGTCCAATTATTTTAGATAAATATTGCACACAAAAACAAGTAATTGACATGGACATTCTCTCTTAACCAAAATTAATCATGCCCCAAGTTTATGAATTTATTGCCTTAAAGAATTTTGAAGAAAAATCCAAAAAAAATTAAAATTAAAAAAAGATAGAGATTAAATTCTATTAATCACTGTTTCCATGAAATATGACTGCCCAATTAGGTCATGCAAACGCTCATCTTTCCATTTTCCATTAGGGTTTCTGAAAATGAATCATTTAAATGCAATGTGGTTGATTAACCAAGTGGGGTTTCAGTTTAGTAGTTAAAGATTGAAAAAAGTGTTGGGTTTTACGTTTTATCCAAGTATGCAAGAAATAGAGATATAATACTGGCTATGGGGGTAATCTTCTCACACACACACATGTATATATATATATATATATATATATATATATAACAGAAAACAATATATATATATATATATATATATGTATATATATATATACATAACTTGGGAGCAGAAGTTATTTCCAAGTTGATAAAAATTAGGAGAGAATAATGTTTGCGCTTGCTGTTATCATGTGATAGCACTGGTGCAATTGGTTTTCGAAATTTGGTCGAATCCGTGGGAGAAAAGAATTAGGGATCTTGAAAATGGAAGAAGAGAAAATAGAAAGAGCCAGAAGAAGTAAGTTTTTGGGTTTGGGGGAAAAAAACTGGTGGAGGGAGGGGGGAGGGGGGAATTGGATTTAATGAAGAATGGTAAGACTATCTTTTAATTTTATTGTGGAAAATAGACAAAATTTATTTGTTCTTTCCACGTAATGATGGAACTTTTGTAAGTGATCATGATACGAAAGAATTTCCCAAAGAAAAAAAATTTAAAATAAGATAGAAGGGATCCTGTTTCCTTTGACACACAAAAGCTTTACTCCTTCAAGTAAAGGAATATTTAATGCTTTCATCTTCTTCTTAACATGGAAATTGGCAAATCTCTATTCTTGGTTACAGATTGAAGGGAATGAAATTTTTTAACCTCTATGCCCTGTTTATTATTCTTATTGTTTTTGGGTAATATGAAAAAATTTACAGGTAGGGATTTCAACTGGCTTAACTTGGAAGGATGGGTTATAATCAAGTTGTGTTTTTCTATCTTATGCAAAAAAATCAGTGAAATTGACCCACCATTCTGCAAAAGACATTAATTCTCAGACCTGTGATGAGACATATATATACACACACACACACTAATACTACAACTATTAACCCATTTCTTTTCTCTACCCAAAAATAAAAAATAAAAAATTAAAAATTAAAACCCTTTTTTTTATGAATTAATTTAATTATTATTAATTTGGGAAGGGAGAGTGTTGACTGTGACTTTTCTCCACGGGACTCCCCCTCTTATATTAATTCAACTCTCTTTCTCAGCTGCTACTTCATTTTCTCAGCCTCCCTTTCAATCTCTCTCTCTCTCTCTCTCTCTCTCTCTCTCTCTCTCTCAACTGTTCTTACATCTTTTCCACCAAAACATCCATTGCTGACACTTCACCTAGGATTCAACAAAAACTTCTACTTAGAAACTTCCATTCCAATGGGTAGACACTCTTGCTGTTACAAGCAGAAGCTCAGGAAGGGTCTCTGGTCTCCCGAGGAAGATGAGAAGCTCTTGAGGCATATTACCAAGTATGGCCATGGCTGTTGGAGTTCTGTTCCCAAGCAAGCTGGTATTTATATACCTCCTCCTCTTTCTATAATCTTCTTCTTCAATGCCCACAAAAACCAATTTCATACTCCTCTTATTTTCAGGGTTACAGAGATGTGGGAAGAGTTGCAGATTGAGGTGGATTAATTACCTCAGACCTGATTTGAAAAGAGGCACATTCTCTCAACAGGAAGAGAATCTTATCATTGAACTCCATGCTGTTCTGGGTAACAGGTAATTTTCCTTCTTTCAGAATTCATTCATTTTCCTTTTTTTTTTTTTTTTGTTTTGTTTTCTGGAGAGATTTATGTTTGAATGATGTTTGTCAGGTGGTCTCAGATTGCAGCGCAATTACCCGGAAGAACTGATAACGAAATAAAGAATCTGTGGAATTCT